AGGTCTTATATATGAGGTCTGACAATTAAGTTCACGAACTTGTCACCATGCACTTACATGGGCAGCACTATACAAACAGCTTGGTAAGGTTTCATAACCTTGGTATATCAATGTCTCACAGCTGTGTTTTGTTGATGTGTGGTAGTGTCCTGCTGAGTGGTGTTCATTATTATTGTTGCGTGTTTTTGTGTGGTCGTGAGAATCTCTGAACTTGAATTAGAGCAATGAACAAACATTCAATTTCTTGTTAAACTTGGCAAGAGTAGAAGCAAAGTCAGGTACATGTTAGTCCACGTTTATGGGGATGATGCCATGAAGAAAACAGCAGTGTACAAATGGATTAAACATTTTTCTGAGGGGAGAGAACGCGTCACTGATGAAGAGAGGTCAGGGTGGCTAGTAACGAACAGAACTGAAGAAAACACTGCAAAAATTCGTCGAATTGTGCGTTACAGTCATTGGCTGACTGTGAGAAGCATAACAGACCAAGTAAACATCAACAGAGAAACAGGAAAATCTTAATGAAAATCTTGGCATGCAAAAATGGTCCCGAAGGAGCTCACTGATGAACAAAAAAGCAAGAGAGTCAAAGTTTGCCAAGACCTTTTGGAGAGGGAAGATGATGTTTTGGGCCATGTTATCACTGGTATGAAACATGGGTGTACCAATACGACCCTGAAACAAAGCTTCAAAGTGCACAATAGAAGTCAGCCAATTCTCCATGACCAAAAAAATTCCGTCAGTCCAAGAGTCAAAATGATGCTAACCTTTTTTGATAGAGGGATTATTCATTATGAATTTGTACCAACTGGACAAACAGTTAACCAAGTTTACTATTTGGAAGTACTGAAAAGGCTGCATGAAAAAATTAGATGAAAATGACCTGAACTTTTCGCCAACAATTCATGGCTCTTGCATCATGACAATGCACCAACTAGCACAGCACTGTCTAAGGGAGTTTTTAGCCAGTAAACAAATAACTGTATTGGAACACCCTCCCTACTCACCTGATCTGGCCCCCAATGACTTCTTTCTTTACCTGAAGATAAAGGAAATACTGAAAGGAAGACGTTTTTATGACATTTAGTACATCAAAGGTAATACAACAACAGTTCGCCATTCCAGAAAAAGTTCCAAAATTGCTTTGAAGGGTGAACTAGGCCGGCCCTCCTCTTGTTTTCTTTAATTGTTTTATACAATGTCTTGTAGTTTTCAGTGTACAGGTCCTTCACTTCCTTTTTTATTCCTAGGTATTTTATCCCTTGTTTTGCAATTTTGTTGTGCTATTTCATTGTTAGCACGAGGTGTGATCAAAAACTACAGTGAATGTTTAAATTTAAAAAATTTTATTGGGCCGGTCGAGTGGCTCAGTTGGTTAAGAGCTTGCTCAAGAGTGCGAGCTCTGAGCAACAGGGTTGCCAGTTCAATTCCCGGCCCAAGTTGAGCTGCCACTGAGCTGCCAACAGGTGACAGAATGGCTCAGCTAGAGAAAAAAAAAATTTTATTCCAGTAAAAGACACATTGCCATTAATCCCCCTCAAAATAGTCCCCCTCACTCTGAACACATCCCATTGTTCTTGCCACTTTCTGAAGCAGTTCTGGAAGTCCTCTGAGTGTCTTTAGTTGTGCTCTTGTGGCTGCCTCAATGTCGTGAGTCGACTTAAAACCTTTTCCTTTCATGGTCATTTTGACTTTGGGGAAGAGCCAGAAGTCGCACGGTGTGCCAGATCTGGTGAATAAGGTGGGTGAGGACATACTGTAATGTTTTTATTTGACAGAAATTGTCATACCAGAAGTGATGTGTGACATGGAGTGTTGTCATGATGGAGGATGAAGTATTCCACTCATGAAAGAAGAACCCCAGAACTGCTTCAGAAAGTGACAAGAACGATGAGATAAGTATGTATAAGGGGGAGTGAGTATTTTGAGGGGGATTAATGGCAATGTCTTTAATACAGTTTTTTAAAGCATTCACCGTATCTTTTGATCCCACCTCGCATATAGGAAATCAACCAATTTTTGTCCATTGATTTTGTATCCTGTGATGAGATTTTCCTGGGTTTGTTTTGGCTTTTGAATATCTCTAGTAAAATATTGGTAATTTACAACAGTGCCTCTCAAATATTAATGTGCATCTCTAGTCGACTACCTGTGATCTTGTTTAAATACAAATTATGATTCGGTGGGTCCAGGGTGGGGCCTGAGACCCAGCACTCCTAACCAGAATCAAGGTGACATTTTTTCAATAACAAGGCCCTAACAGAATCAGTTGCTATGGGATCTTACCTTTTCCAGATTAACACTCTTTCCATAATTTTGATATCTTAATTCCAACAGCACAGTAATAAAAAATATTAAGCATTTAATATTTGCATTTTATTTCCTCAGTTGCAAATGAGTGCTTTAAGATACATTCATTGTCGATGCCCACATGATGACTGGTCATTGTGACAGGTGGTCACGACTACGTCAGCTGTGATGGCAGTATCAAGCTGCTGAGCTGGGTGTGAGACTAAAGCCTAGGAATATCCAGAGGCAGTTTTCATGCAGGTGACCCAAAGCTGCAAGGGCCAGCCAGGTCCAGGATCACAGGACCAGTGTAGCTGCCGGCTCCACCTGCCCAGACTTTTATATTTGGGTTACCATCTTTTATTAGAGAGCTGTTTCCTTTTGTGGGCATATAGCATCGGCATCAGAATATGTGCATGTTGCTTAATGAGTGTCCCCACAATTTTACACCTGAGGCAAAGAGTCAAGCCTGATCAAGTCTAAATCCTTCCTTCTCACCAGTTATACTTACTAGATATTGTCAGCTTTGCATGCATTTTGTCCTACAATTGATCCTCTTCTGTTTCTCTCCAGAAATGATAACTGAATTATCCAGTACTTAGGATCACTTTAACCTTTTGTAGTAGCCATTATCAGCCCCACTGCTAGTTGAGAATCTAGGGCAGGGTGGCCAGACTTAAAAATAAAAATACAGAAAAGGAGAGAAAAGCCAGGAAAGGGTATGTTAACACGGACATCGCTTCATTCCCTCTCAATCTATATATATGGTGACAACACAGGCAACAATCACCAACTGTGGGGCACACCACTGCTTTGAGCTTCAGTTTCCCGTTTGTTGTGAAAAATAAGACGATAGGTGCCAAATGGAGTTGCTTATGCTAAGCCCCACATCACCAAACTCTTCCAGAAATTGAATCTTAAACCAGTCACTCTGCATGGGTAGCGGCGGCTACCACTGACAGAACAACCCCCACAGCCACTCTCCCTGCTCGGTCACCCCAGCCCCATCCACTCCTTCCCACAGGACTGAGGGACCATGGCCCTTCCTTGCATGAGGCAGAACAAGATCAGACATGGCATGGTGAAGCGACTGGTCAAAGAAAAAATGTATGAAAAAGCAAAGCAACAAAAAGATTGAAAAAAATGAAAGCCAATTCACAGTAGCCAAGACATGGAAACAACTAAAATGCCCATCAGTAGATGACTGAATTAGGAAACTGGTACATTATACAATGGAGTATTACCCATAAGGAATGAAATCTTACCATTTGCAATGATATGGATGGACCTAGAGAACATTATGCTAAGTGAAGCAAGTCAGACAGAGAAAGACAAATACCATATCATCTCACTTACATGTGGAATCTAAAGAACTGAATAAACGAGCAAACTGAACAGAGATACATAGTCTCAGAGATGTAAAGGAAAAGCTGAGGGTCGCTAATTGGGAGGGGGGTGGGGATGAGGAAGGTGAGGGGATTAGAAAGCACAAATTGGTAGCCACAAGATTGCCACGGGGATACGAAAGACAGTTTGGGGAATATCAATAATGTAAAGATTTTGTAGGGTAGCCGATGAACACTTGTCTTATTGGGGAGTCTACTTCATAGATGGTGTAGATGCCTGACCACTGCACTGTACACCTGAAGCTGAAGCTGAATGATAATGTCAACTGTAATTTAATATATATATATTCAAAGGATGTAGAGTACAGCATACAGAATAGAGTCAATGGGATTATGACAGCTATGTGCGATGTCAGAGGGGTAGTGGATTGGGAGTAGGGAAGTTGTCACTTTGTGAGGGATGTGGGTGTTTCACTATTACATTGTTTTGTACACCTGAAACTAATTGAAAATGAAAAAAAATGAAAGCTCAGAGGTAAAAATTACACCTTTAAAAAGCAGGCAGAGATCCCGCAAGAGTCCCAGATGAAGATCCCAGATTGCCAGCGCCCACTGGAAGCTGCATATACTGCTCTTCTGCAGATTCATTAGAGAATGAAAAAGAGTTGGAAGAAGCTAAAGAATATAAGGAAGCATGTTTAGTACTGGATTCAGTGAAGTTAGAAGCCTGAAGTTTTCTGTACAGGGTGTTTTTTGCATTAATCCTGGGATTCACACCAAGATTCATTATTTTTTACCACTGCTCAAATAGTACAAGAGTGTGATTCTTTTTATGCAGTTGCGTATCTTCTTTGCCTAATTTAAATAAATTAATTCATCTAAAAAAAAACCAAACTCAGGAATAGCCTGGCCAGCACTAGTTAGGTAATCTGCCTGAAGACCCCTGCCATCCCCTATAAGGAAAGCAACTTTGCAGTAACCAACCCACTTTTTTGCCAAGTTGGGTCAGCTGACTTGTACATCATGCTAGAAGGGCAAAAGTCACAGAGGAAGCTGCAGACCCAATCCCAGTCAGCTCCTTCAGCAGCAAGCGCCGCTTTGGGGAAGGAGGACACCTGCTGCAAACCCTAGGAACCAGTGAATGGGCATCGACTCTGCCTAGGTGAGGAACAGAGTCAAAATGTGTTTTTCTCTCTTGGACCTTAAAGAAATATTAAGCCAACTCCCTGACAGCCACAGGGCACTCAATCATTTCAAAGGAAATGTACAAAAAATTACAAGCATTTTTTTTCTCAAATGGCTGTTGAATTTATTTGCTTGATCAATAATGGTCCTGGCAAAAATTAGTTAGCCAACACTGAGACAACTGTAATGAAATACTAAATTTTAAAAATCCATGATACCTTGATAGAAATTAGAGTTTACACAAACAGAAACGAAACCTCCAATATTGCCAGCAAATATAAAATGAATATAATATGAGGGACAGAACAGCAAGAAGGCTTTTATACATTTCTTTTTGACACCTGACCATATTTTCAGTCACCATAATAACTTCTCTCCAGATTTAAAAAAATAGTATGCTGATTTCTATAACAAAGCTTTTTTTTCATACAAAAATCAAATAATGGCCAACAAGTCACAACAGTGCAATAGGTAGAGGATAAAAAAAATCGCATCAAACAGGTGCTGAAAATAAATACTAACTAGGAGGAGGAGGAAATCAGAGCCCTCAGGGAGTCGTTTCCATCACCTTAACTGTAGTTTGTCTTCACAGCCATGAGAGCTGACCTACCTCATGGGTGCTATAAATTTGGACAGAGCATGACTGACTGAACAAGGTGCTGACAGCAGGGTCCCCAGATGCTTCAGGTCACCAAAGTGACAAAAACAAGAAAATGGGTTTGGGGATCGCAGCTATCATTAAAAGGAAAAGTTGTTTTTTTCTATTGCTCAATCTTGTCAATTGGGAGTCCATCAGCAGGTTCACTGAGACGATATGGATAATTGAAAACTTTTAGCAGTATATATATGGCTTATTCAGGCAAAGAGATGTTTACCTTCTAGCCCAAGCAAGCAATCTAAGTCATTCTGTTTGTAATGGAAGGTCAGTCACATAGAAGCTTTCTGGTTTGAAAAACAGATCCTTTATGTGGATTCCTGAGGTCAAGGTGGCTACTTTAACCAACCCAGTGAAAAGCATGTGCTGATCACTAGCCTCAGAGCAGCAGGAGCCAGGAGTGAAGTGGCCCCTCCTCCACGCTGGGCCACACTGCCCCCAACTGGCAGGTGGGCTCCACAGGCAGCTCTGTCTGCAACCAAGTAGGCCTTTCTGGTGACTCAGTCTCAAGGACCGGTTTAGGACTGTCAAAGGAGAGAGTGACATGGGTGCGTAAAGGTAACTCCAGTAAGAGCTATTCTGGTGAGTCAGGAAATATGAGGCGGCTCCCCATGACATAATCTGCACCAAAAGGGTGTAAAAGGCACAAGCAAGAGTGACTAGGTAAGCAGTGACCCTGGAGGGTGAGACGGGCGAGCCACAAGGCAGGAACAGTATTTACCTTGTTGGGTTCCTCGCCTTGAACGAGAGAAAGAGAGAGAGAGAGAGATCCTGATTCTGCCGTAATAAAAAAGCAAAGATGATTTTTGGTTTAAAAAGAAACCACTCAAGGGTTAAAATAGTTACTGTAAGTTAACAAAATTAATCTTCAAAATAAGCTATCTGGAAAACACATCTGTCCCCTACAAGCCTACAATGCGTCCACTGCTTTGTCCTCCCCTGTAGCCTGAGCCTGATGTGGAAAAGTCATATGTGTGAAAAAAGGAAGAGTCTCTGAGAAGAAAAGACATCTTTACAGAATGTACAGCAGAGAGTGTGCACTCTGACTCTCGGGATTACAGTAAGATGCACAGGTCTTGTTAGTTACGGAGGATTCCATGACCCACAGGATGCTCAGATGGGCGTCTCCTTCCTGTCTCTGCTCGGCGACGGCTTAGCCTGCTCCTTGCCTGCCTTTGGCTGCTCTTTAGCTGCTTTTGTTTCTGGGGCGCCATCTCTAGGCAGCTGGACAGCACCCGCTCGTTTCTCGGGCTCTTCGTCGTCCTGTGCCTGTGGCTCAGGCTTGGCTCGCTGCAGCTGGAGCAGGCGGAGCTGCACGCGCAGTTCGATGATGGCTTCTCGCTCTAAATGAATTGCTTGATTCAAATGATTGTTCTTTATCTTGAAGAATGACAGAAAGAGCCGTTGTCACTCATGAAGGTGAAAATGACTTGATTCAGGAGCAGAGTACAGTTAGCAAGGGTATCCTACATAAGAATCTATTTTTGTCAATTTAGTTGTGAAACAGAAGACATAAACACGAATGTGCAAATGAGACACATAAACACCTTGAATCAGAATGGATATAATTCAAGATATAAAACTCTGCTTCTAAATACAAAAGAGTAATAAGCATATCTGGAACACATATACCAACAGAAAACAATTATTTTAATAAATTTAGTTTTTTAGTGTTTAAAATTGATTTATGTTTTTGAACTGGCTCTTCAGCAGCCCTTAAATAAGGGGAAGATAAAAGTGACTTTAGTGGCAATTGGAGAATTTAGAGGTGGATAAAATCCTAGATTTATCTTAAAAGTGAGTGATTCTAGTCTTTTGTAAAAGGTATTACCTTACATCAGAACTGTGCTACTTAGTCAAACTACAGAAAACTATCAGCTCTAAATTATCTACACAGCAAAGTTGAGGTAACACAAACCAGTAACTAACCTCAACCTCACACCAACCTCCTTCCCTCCTCATATGGCATTTCTGAGTAGCCTGCATTTCTCAGCTTCCCTTGCTAGCTATGGCCATGTGACTGAGTCTTTGCTAATAGGGTATGAGCACAAGTGCTGAGTTCCACTTGTGCATCCTGCCCTTCACAATTGGCAATTCCTTGATTCTTTTTCTCCTTCCTGCTGATAAGAGTGCACAAGACAGAGTGGCCACTTTGGACCCCAAGTGGAAATAACCTGTATGGAGGATGGCTGACCTCAATGTCTGCTAAGACAAGAGATATAACTATTGTTCAAACCACAAGGAAACTGGGGGACAACTGCATAGTGAAAAGAAAGCGACAGATTTAAATGGTAAGAATTTTCCTCCTTACCCAAATAAAACATTGTTTCCAGATGTTTCACCTAAGACTTGAGAGAGAGAGAGAAGCCATTCTCTTAGAAAGGAATCTAAGAATAGCAGGACAGATTTGTTGCCCTCATTTAGGTGCATTCAGCTGCTGGGGAAAACCAGAGTTACCACCACACAGAGAACTAAAAGAATTCCACACAAAACCCTCTCCACAGAACCTGTAGACAGAGTTCAAAAAGGCTGCCCCAGAGGTCAAGGAAAGGCACTTGCCGTAATAGCCAGGGCTGTGCTGTGGGAGAAGCGAGCAGGGTTGCAACCTAGGCCACGAGGTAGCTTCCATTCTTTAGGAAGGCCTTATTTTGCTTTAACATTTTACAGATCATATTAAAATCCTAAGTAGGAAAACATTTCCAGAATTACAGTACTTGGGATGCAGGCTAAGCTGCTGTAACCAAGAGAATACTCTCATGGTTTGAACAAGATAGTTACATCTCTCGTTCAGCAGACATTCAGGTCAGCCATCTTCCATACAGGTTTTTTCCACTTGGGGTCCAAAGTGGCTGCTGTAAGTCTTATGCACTCTTATCAGTTTATTCTCACCTGCTGCTTTACAGGTGAAGGACTAAGAGAAAACTCTGTCCCTCATTTCTCCCAGAGGGAGATTCAGGAGGCTTTTCCCTCTTCCACTAGCATTTCTCTTTCCTTTCATCTTCTCTGGGATCACAGACAAGATCATTCAAAGCTGCTCAAACCAGCACAGTCAGGTAAGGCTCACCTTTACACAGGACAGAAAACTGTGTGGTACATACACTACAGTTAGGAAAGGTCACACCTCAGGGTGGCCTGACGAGGCCACACCTGTGCCATCTGTCTGGCCAGCAGTCAGCTTGTGCCCTGCATGCTCTTTGGTGAGATGTCCTCCTAAATTTCTCTCTACTCAATCTCCCCAGTTGGTTACCAAGGAAAACAAGAAAAATTCTAAGAGGAAATATGTAGTCGCTACCACTTTCTAGAAGTTAGTGTGATTTTTGGTTATTTTTCCCCAAAACTCACTTCTAGCTCTTCATTCTGTCTCTGTAAATCTTCCAAGATGATCTGAAGCTCTTCTTCATCTTCACTCTCACTTTCACTTTCAGAGGAGTATTCCTCAGTTTCACTTCGGCCATGTTGCTGACGACTTAAAAGGTAAGAGATCAAGAAAAACTTTACAAATAAATAAAGTGTGCTTGTCTGTTACCTCCCTTTTTTTAGATTTACCAAGTTTTCATGAGTTTACTCAAAATACTTATATTTACAAATAACTTAAAGATGATTAATTTTGCATGCCTAATTCTTTTGTATGAATGTCTGAGAGCTGAAAACAATTATGCTTATATTTAAGTGAACAATTCTTGGAAACTTTCCTTTACCTCTGAATTTCAGCAATCTCAGCTCTGAGGCGTTCAATCTCTTCTTTTTCTGAGGCAATCTGTCGGCGCAGAAACTGCTCCATGGCTAGAAGCTCCTCCTGTTCAGTCAGAATTTCATTCTCCTAAAATAATGATCATGGTGAATGCCTTTGAGAATATGAGTCTAAGGAAAGTTCACTTTTTGGGTTCTCATATGTTGCTCTGAAGTCTTTAGCCCCATACACATAATACACAATTTATGGCAAAGCTTACAAAAAATATCCTGTTTCCTTAATGTCAAGAAAAGGTAAACTAAGTTATTTGGGAGAAATGACTAGATTTTTCTCAAGACATAAAATGCCACTTAGGAGTCCCATGTTGTCGTTTTGCAAAGGCTCCCTGTGAGGCTGACACACTGGGCACAAAGCCAAAGTTCAAGTTTTTGCTTCACAGTCCTTTCCAAATGCCTTCCCACCTCTCAGTAAAGGGAGTGTTTATTTTAGGGACAAAGTGGCTTCCAATAATGTCACCAAGAAAAAAAGGGCCTAGGAGGTATACAGCTGGTGTCAACATCACCTTAGGCCACATCTAGTGAAGGGAAGATGTTCACAGAAAGACACCTTTTTTCCTCTCGCCACAAGCCACTGTCCTCAACCCATGTCTCCAGAGATAATATTTAAATAGTAAATATTCTGCTTTAAAAGAATACACATTTCTAAAATTGATAGGATCACCAGTTGATAGGGGAAAAATCCCTTGGGCAAGATCTAGCCCCTCAAACACAAAGAACCAATGCAGAGAAAATTTAGGTGGTAACAGAGATGTAAGGCTATGGAAATGAGGCGCTAGAGACAGACAAAGGTCTACAGCATTTCTTTCTAAACTACCGTATTTTGCTGTGTATAATACACACATTTTTGCCCTAATTTGTGAGGGAAAAATAAGGATGTGCATTGTACATGGGTAGTACTAATTCCATATCTATCTATCTATCTATCTATCTATCTATCTATCTATCTATCTATATGTTTTTAATTCTTTTATTTATGCTTATGAGTTAAAAGTGTGACTCTAGAAATCAATAACGATATCTGTATGCAAAATAATACCCTGGAATACGATAATCGGGTTTGTTGAACTTAGGACAAACTTGCAATGACAAAGAGTTCTTGGCTTTCTATGATGCGTAAATATCGTAAATTTGTTACTGGTACATATAGTTTCTTTACCTTGTATCTGTTCTTGTGTTTTGTAATTATTTGTTTGTTTTTAAGATTTTCTTTTTTAATTGGGGAATTGGGGGATGAGAACAGCACTGGGGAATTGGGGGGAGGGGAACAGACAAGTTGCTGTCCTTTTGTTCTTCAGTCTAGTTGTGGAGGACATTGCTTCACTGGCCCATGTTGGTATTAGTAGCATTGCGCTCTTCCCAGGTGAGGCAGATCAGTTGCCGGTCACGCCGGCTCTTGGCAGTTCATGCCAGTCACTCATGGTAGCTCATGGCAGCCCACTGCAGCAGGGGCTGCAGCCTATGCCATTCCTGGTGACTCATGGCAGCCCAACTCCAGGTCGAGCTGTTGTTCACCATCTTAGCTATAGAGGGCACAGTGTCACTGGCTCTCATGTGGGATCCGAACCGGGGCCCTGCTGCTCAAAGCTGGTGTCCCAAGCCAACTCTTAACCAACACGCCACTCGGCTGGCCCTGTAATTATGTTACATAAAATTTCTTGTACCTTAATATATAAAAAATAAATGCTAAAATTCCTTTAGAATACAAAAAAAAAGTACCTAAATGTAAACAAAAATTTGAATTAAAAAATTAAAACAAAATATTTTTTCCCCTGCAAGTTTGGGCCAAAAATGGTGTGCATTATACACGGGAGCATGTTATACACAGCAAAATATGGTAATAGGTGCCAAGAGGATAAGTAACTGTAATCAAACTTGAAAGACACTATGGTCAAGTTCCAAAGTGAACTACTCAAAGCCCCAATATGCATGAAGAATCTCTCAGAGATATAATTGCAGTATTCCCCAGGTGTTACAGACATGTTTATATTCCAAAAAATATCAGATTGAAAAATTCTGAAATAAAGGCATAATTTGGAACTTCATTCTCTCTCTTCAGGGGAAAAGAGTGATATGTCCCTGGCTAGGCACAACGATATTTTTCAGAAGTGACAGAAAAGGACTTAAACTTGGTAGGCTTTTGGAATTCCACATACATGAGTTTCTGGAAGCACAGACAGACAATGTCAGAGCCTATACCTTCATTTCTGGTGAAGCTCTGGGAATTTCCAGAACAGACTGAGGTTGACTTGAGAAACTCAGAAAGAAAGAAAAGAACTCATCTTCAGCTCTATTCCTGGAATACAGTAGATACTCAAGAGCTATTTGTCAAATCAATGAATGAAAAATAAAACAACTCATCAAATCAATGAATGAAAAATAAAACAACTCATCTCCATCAACTGACTTTCACCTGCGAAGAGTAAAATCAAAATATCTAAAAGGTGATATTAGCAACAACTATCAGTTAAAATCTGTATCTTACATTTCGAGGATCCCAAACTTTGTGATATCAGGAAGAACATGTTATAAATATTTATGAAAGTCCAATCTCATTAATATGGAACAAGTACCACTAATCTGTAATTTAGGAAAAATACCTATATCTCAGACCTGTGTGGATAAATGAAATTAAGCATGTAAAACAGTCAGTGTCCAGTAAGAAGCATTCATTCAGCAAAAGATAGTTTCTTTCTCCAGCTAAACATTTAAGCAAATGCCACATAAAGGTAGGGCCAAACAACAGGCAATCCCTCTAAAACCTCGAAATTATCTTAAAGTTTGGTTAAAAGACACACCTCTGTAAATGACCTTCTCAAATTATAATATGAGATTACCATGAAGGGTCTTGCAACACACTGATGAACAACCAAATGGGTCAAAGAAGAAATCAATATCTTGGGCCGGCCGAGTGGCGCG